TGTAATTTACAAAGAGCAAAGATGAACTGGACAGATTTTGATGGCGATAGGGAATGGTGTTTCAAACGTAAGTAACCAAAGATGAGAGCCTCCTTCTCCAAAGTAAAGAGGCTGGACCTTGATAAATCTTGAAAGAAGGCAACTAGGCACAAACCAGGTGCCCTATTTAAAGAAACCCCATTTACTACCATTAGTGTTATCAGGGCTTTTATGTCAGACTTCTTTCTGTCTGCGATGTGTTTGGTGAATTTTTAACTGAACAGGCTTTACAATTGGAGCAATGGAATAGACTATAAACAACAGCTAAAACCACTTCAGAATTCCAAAAGCCTGACTCAACTCTGTCTCTCACTTGGCTCTTTCATTCTCTGCCCTCACCTCTCTTGCTGGGGTTTCTTGAGGGGTGGTCCTGGGACCACTGGCATCTGATCACTTGTGGCACTTGATAAAAGTGCTCATTACTGGCTTCAGCTGTAGACCTGAATCAGAAAGCACTGGGGAAGAAATTGGAAATCTTTTTTTTTTTTGTGAGGAAGATCAGCCCTGTGCTAACATCTGCCAATCCTCCTCTTTTTTTTTTGCTGAGGAAGACTGGCCCTGGGCTAACATCCATGCCCATCTTCCTCCACTTTATGTGGGATGCCACCACAGCATGGCCTGCCAAGTGGTGTGTCAGTGCGCCCCCGGGATCCGAACCGGCGAACCCCGGGCCGCCGCAGCGGAGCGCGCGCACTTAACCATTTGCGCCACCTGGCCGGCCCTGAAATCATTTTTAACAAGCACCTCTCAGGTGATTCTCAGACACATTCAAGAGAACCACTCATATATTTCTCATTTAGTACTGTCCCTTGTCTTAAGATAGCAGTTGATTTTATTTCTTCTTCTGGACCATGTTATGCTGTGAATGGAGGGCAGAAAAGTGAGATATGAAGAAAGACCTACTTTTCCCTTCTGGATCCAGCTTCTTAATCAAGTTCATAAGAGGAACTGAGAACCCATACACTCATTTCCTCAATGGACCTGTTCCTTAGTGGGATATCCTATGTCTAACATATTGATATATATTTGCAAGGAATAACCGCTGCAGATATGAATGAGAAATTCTATGAGCTCAGCAAGATCATACTCATTGGGGCACATACCCTTTTCAACGAGGATGCCATCTGAGTGGCCAGGCCAGATGCATTTCAGTATTCAGGGTGGGTTGGGGCTGAAACTTCAGTTCTAGGGGACATTGAGGGCTTTTCAAATGTGATTGGTGTAGAGTCTTCTCTCATAAAGCAGTACAAGGTGGGGCCGGCCCTGTGGCTTAGCGGTGACGTGCGAGCGCTCTGCTGCTGGCGGCCTGGGTTCGGATCCCGGGCGCGCACCGACGCACAGCTTCTCCGGCCATGCTGAGGCCGCGTCCCACATACAGCAACTAGAAGGATGTGCGGCTATGACGTACAACAATCTACTGGGGCTTTGGGGGGAAAATAAATAAATAAATAAAATCTTAAAAAAAAAAAAAAAGCAGTACAAGGTGGGTCTTGGGAGAGGGTTCAGAGTAGAAAATACTGCTCGAGTTTCTAAAACGGAATATGTGTGGTCACAGGCTTTGATATTTATTTAATGAAGAATCTCTATAATAGTCTTGGTTTTCTAGTGTGTGAAATACAGCCCATCTAATATAAGAATACAGTCTGCCTGAGACTTGCAGCAGGGGAACATGCTCTTAAATGAATCAGTAAGGAATTCTAGAGGTTTCAACTAATCACGGAAAAACTGAGTCTCTTGGTCTTACATTGGGCACCTGTGATGAAAGGAAAAAAGCAGTTTCCTAGGTTTAAGTCAAAAAAGAAGGTTGGTGTGCCTAGCTTCCATTACATCATTCATAAAGAGAGTTTATGTGGGAACTTTGCAAGTCAGCTTCCCTGCATGATGTGATGGAGAGAGTGATTAAGATACTGAACTTTCTCTGTGTTCTTGTCCTTAACCATTGCCAATTTCTAGGAGATTTAGAAGTCGAAACGCAGTATGGAGAATTAATTTTGATACAGACAGATGGTTAGGTCATGAAAACTTTTTGAAATATTTTAATAACTGCTATATTAGATCAAGTGTTGTTTTTTTTTTTTTAGTAAATGGCTTGAAGAGACACAAGGAAGCATCAAGTATGCTTTTTTAACTGTGACAAGGCATATGAACTTAAAACTGTAGGGCAAAACGAACGAAGAGCATGGCTGAGCTGTTTGAAGAATTGTGAAGTGGATTCAAACTGGGCTTGCCTATCGGGTGGCCACACTCATTTCTCATCTCAGAACTTATCAAAGACATGTAGATTCAGGAAAGTCACAGTTTTAGGAGAGACTCAGATTTTCTTGAGAACCAATCCTGACTTAAATTCCTGCAGCTGCATTTGGAATAACCCTCATTGAGTTCCAGCTCAAAATTTAGATTCTCTCCCTATTTTGCAGGCTTGGGAAAAGGATTAAATTAGACAGTATTTATAAGCCTCCATCTAGTTCCTGGTGCACACTAAGTACCTGGCAAAATGAGGTCCCCCTCCACCCCTGCCATGAAAAAAATAAATGTATTAATGGAGGAAAAGGGATGATTCTAGAGATGATAAAACACTGTTGCTGCCAGGGGCATTCTAACCTTTTTCCATCTACTGGTTTTTAGCAGAGATAAACCCAAAGTGTCCTTTTCCCTTTTAACTGTACATGCAATTGTGTGGGAGAGCCAGCTCTTCCTCGTTTGCTCTTCAGGAGTTCCTTACCCCATAGATGGTACCATTGAGCGGATTAATCCATGAATATTCTTGCCTTCAGAGTTTCGAAGTGGGGATAATGAAGCAGAGAACACAGTCACTAAGTGACAGAACTTAAGCCCGTTGTACCCAGGGCCATGTAAGGATAAGCAGATGGATCTGTAACGAGAGTCTTCTTGGTCCCAGAAAACCAAGAACCAAAAAGCCACCTGTTACCTCAGACGCTTCACCAGAGCAGGCCCATGGTTTGGTTTGGTTTCTGTCTCTTTACTCTGTGTAGGTTTTTTTTTTTAATTATAGGATGGGTGAAGAACCAGGTTAAGGAGGTTTCATGGAACACCTGTTTATTGAGGATCTACTCGGGTGCTGGGTGTTGGAGAGCTAGCCTCGCTTGATCTGGTGGTGAAGAAGGAATAGACAGTTACACACTGATAGGAGCTGTGGAGGTCTAGTAAATGCAGAGCACTCATTGGGGGGGGAGGGGAAGCTTCAGCTTTACATGTTTTGACTTTTGCTTTTATTGCTTGGACTTTTTGAGAGGCACAGGTTGACTTAAGATTAGCCAAAGCAGCATCTTAATTGAACGAGTAACAGCTATCGGGACAACCAAATATAATTAACTTTGATGTTTTCAAATTTCTTTTTCCATTCTTTGGTTTGCCTGTGCTTTGATCCTTAATGATGTGTGCACAATGAATTGCACTGGAAGAGAAATGTCTGTGTTCATATTAAATATTACCAGACCATTCTTTTCATTGAGTGCCGGGGCATTTTCACCTCCTGGTAAGATGGATTGGTAAGGAACACACTGTACTCTGGTAAGTATGTTTTCAGTTGAAATAACAGCCAGTAACATCACAAATTCAGGGTCAGAATAAACTCTGTACCGTGGCCTAGACAAATATTTGTGATGTTAGGAAATGGAGTAGGATATGGAGATAGACTTAAAAGATGATGGTTAAGTGAAAAGAAATTTACATCAATCTTGAAGCAAGCTCATTGTCTACTTATCTGTATATAATTTTGCCTGGGATATTCCTGACTTGGATAGGTGGAAATTCAGTAGGTGTTCATCTTTCTGAAACTTCCTTTTATCCTCCTCATTGTTGTAAATTTGAAGTTAATATAAAAATGTAACCTATTATTAAGGAATCAGAAGATATGTATTGTGGCTCTCTGGTCGCTTTGGGAAAGTCACTTAACCTTCTTGAACCTCAATTTTCTTCTCTGTAAAATGGGTATGCCTACTTAATGGATTGCTGTGGGGTCAAATGAGATAAATATATATGGCAATGCCTTGGAAACCCTAGAATTTTTTATAAATAGGATTCTATAATGATGCATAGAGAAAGGCAGCTCCGACTAAGCAGAATAGCATGCATGCTGCTTTTTCAAGGTCTAATCATTTATCTCACAAATACATACTAAGTAAAGTTCCCTCCTCTAGGTATGTGCCCCTCATGTTAGTCTCTCTTTACCTGTCTTGGCGCTGTGTCTATTATTTTATCTCTATAGCCTTTAGGTGACAGACTCACTGTTCTATGGAGTACACTGACAAACTGAAAATTATTGCCAGTTCAGATAAGCCACAGTCAGAAGAAGCAAATACAACTTTCTTTTTCTTTGTTTTCTCTCTCTTCCTCTTTCCTGCTCCTGTTTGCTACATATGTACTAAAATTTTGGTATAACAGCCCAGATTTTTAGATGAGTACAAGAATTTGGACCCATTTTATCCAGAAAATGATGTTTTACATTTTATTTTCAAGATAGACAAGCCTATTTATAAACATGTCTAATCATTTTTTGCATTTGAGGCTTAGGAACTTGAATAATTATCACTATGTTTATTCTGACCTTGCACCCATTATGTATGTTGAAATCAGGTTCTCCTGCAACTTTGTTTGCATTTTTATATTTTGTTGATCATCCCCTCACTAGGTGTTAGCTTGGGATGGTGATTTGAAGCAATTGCTTCTTTCAGCTTTGCTTGATTGCTTCATTACATACGTGTTCACTCATTTCTCATGTAAAAATTATTAACCCATCATATGACACAATCCTTGCAGTATGTGCTAAGTATTATCTTAGTGTGCTGACATTTAGAAATGCTCATCCCCCTTGTTGCCTTAGATGTATCTTGTTGTTTTGTTCTGTGTGACATCAAATTTACACTTGTCCTTTTCTCTTAGAGACAAGTTGTGGGAAGGAAAAGACAAGATCATAACATTAAGATTGAATGTGTTTCTCAATCTTCACATCCTTAACTGGTTTCTTTGATGCATTTGAGTTTGCTATAAAATGTTAGGGGAGGAAAGAAGGCAACCAGCGATAATCAAAGGGGAAGAAAGATCAGGGTAGGACTCGGTGACATTTGAGGCTAAGTTTTGGAGCCGTTGCAAGAGTTATTGCTGCCTGTGACTGTTTGGCCTGGCTACATGTCAGAGCCATTAACTTCAGAATAACAGAGCCTTTAAGAGAATGTACTCTTTTAGAAAACTCCTCATTAATTTAATTTATGGAAGAGGAGAGGAGTTAGGGAGCAAACAGCTAGAAGCATGGGGTTTCAACAGTGCTTGGAATTTAGTTTGGAAAAAAAAAATACAAAAGCTGTGAATGCTGGATCACGTGAAATTTTAAAAATCCACAGCTCTGCCTCTCGTAGTCTCAGAGGCCTGTCCTATTTGAGATGGAATTGCCTCCTTGGTGATAGCTTTTGGAGCTCAAGCCCTAATATGGATCCCAGCCGGGAAATCATCAACTCTAATTAAGTTCTGGCTTGTTTTGATTCCCTTCCAGCCTTGTGGTTGAATAGCTTTGTGTATATAGTCTTTTGCTAACAACTTTTCCCACAGTCAGGAAAACGTACCTCTGCAGTATTGATCCTTACCTGAAAGGCTTTGGCCACCATCTTGCAGGAAGTGGCTGTCTTGTGTACCTGCCTCTCCCGCCAGTCCCCCACATGGTTTTACCATATTTGGGGAATGGAAGGAACAAAGCTGTCATTACTGATAGAAGATTGGGAAAAGACAGTGATATCTGGGTCCACATAGCCATGGGAACTTGCCAGGATTGGCCATTCCTCTTGCTCTTAAAGGTCTTTTGCCCTGGCCCCCCACCCCACACCTGCCAGGATAGAAGAGGTAGGGTAAGATGGAGACAGAATTTAAACTCTTAACCAAATCATTCAAAGATATTTGCTGAGCCTACCTACTATTTCCCATGTGCTAAGATCCAAAGGAAGGAAGACTGTCATCATGCCAAGTCATTGCAAGGCAGTGATGTTGTTGCCATGGTGCTTATTCACTGCACCGTGATAGAAGAGGGAAACGAGTCCAGTGTGTGTCCTGGGGAGGTCAAGGGAAATTGTTTTGAGGAAGTGGCATTTTGGCTGAGAATTAAAGAGTAAAGACACATTTGTGAGGTTTTGGGAGTGAAAGTGGAGTGTCCATGTGGAAGGAATATCATGGAAAATGGTATGGGGAACGACGAGATGTCTGCAAATAGTTCACTATTTCTGTAAAAGTCATTCATTTGTTCATTCAACACGCATTTACTGTGCACCTACTTTGTACCAAGTGCTGTGCTGGGTACCAGGAATAAAACTGGTGAACAAGCCAGATATTCAATAGAATTTTGTGATGTATTGGATGTGGGAGGAGGTCTCAACGTATCTGACATTACAGCTAGATTGATAGTGGTCCATTTACTGAGCAAGGAGGAGGACCAAGCTTTGAGGAGGAGCAAGGATGGGCATGGTGTGGGTGGCAGATGATGAACCGATTTGGCTAAGCCCCTTCGACGTATCTAAGGGAGATATTAAATGGTGGTTAGATTTACAGCTTTGGAGTTCAGAGCAAAGGTCTGGGTGGGAGATACAAATTTGAAGAGGTAAAAGTACATAGATAGTAATTGAAAGTGGGTGGGATTGAATAACGAAAGAGCAGAGACTAAGAAAGGAAGAAGGCTATGGGCAGGCTCGCTGAACCACGTTTCATAGCCAGGTAGAGGGGATGAGTTGCAAAGAAAACTAAGAGTAAGAAATGAGAGGCGTGGTAAGAAAGTTGGAAGAGTATGCTGTTGTAAAAGCGAAGGGAAAAGAGTATTAAGGAGAGATCAACTGCAGTCAGAAGATGGGGAAATCCAAATGGGTTTAGAGACACGAAGGTCCCTATCACCTTAGAGTTGTTCATGTGGAGTGATTAGGGTAGAAGCTGGATTGTTTGGGAGATAAGGCTGTTCACTCTGCCGGGATTAGAAAGGGTATTGGAAATTCGTGGGATACTTTTTTTTGGTTGCAGTGATCGGTGGGCACTATAGGCAGCAAGTGAGCAGAGACCAGGATATTGGTACCTTGCAAAGTATAGGCGAGTCCCGTGCATGAAGAATTGTCCTGTGCTTAACATGATTCTCAAATATCTCAACCGATGCTTATGTAAGGTTAACAACAAAACCTGTTTGCAAGTATTTGAGCTGGAACCTAACTTTGCTTTACATATAGGCACAAAATATTTGGGGTTAGGTTTTAATACACACACTGAATTTTCTAGGACTAGAACTGCTTTGTAAATTGGGGGAAGATTGTACATGGTTCTATGTAGACCTTTACTAAATATTGTTCACTGTTTAGGAAAATCATGTCATCAGTGGCCATACCCACTTCTGGAATTTGAGTTATCAGAAAAAACACTGCCGATCTGTATTTGTAGCTTCTGTGTTCATGATGATTCTATGTGTGGATGCAAGCATCTGTCTCTATCATTATATCCTCTAGTATAGTTTTGCACAAATATTTAAATTAGATAAGCAATATTATTTTAAAGTACATTCCTTTTTTTTTCTTCCACCATACTATACATAAGGCATTATAATGATTTGCTTTTGGAAATTATTATATGGGTAGGTTATACTAAAGATTATTTCAGGACAGAAAAGTATATTATGGAAAGGAGGATTTAGGATTTTCAAGCCTATCAAACCCTGGGTATGTCTTGAAGCACTTTGTATATGATTGAAAGGAGCTGTGTATCTTGTAGTCTAGTGTTAATTAAAGCAGGATCCTGGAACCATCTAATGAGAATCACCTGGAGGGCATATAAAAATGCAGGTTTCTGGGCTCCACTCTAGAACTACTGAATTCCTTGTGGAAGACTCTGGAATCTGTATTATAATGTCTTCCCTGCCCAGCACAGACATGCTTCTTATCCCAGTAACATTTGAGAACTCACTCCCGTAGACTGGCAAACCTTTAAGAATTTAGAGAAATAGAGGGACAGAAGCAGATTTTTGGGTTCTGATGGGACTTTAGAAGGCAAGTTGAAGGAGCTTGGGACTCGGGGCTCAGTTTCTATTGTAATGCTGTGGATAAAGAACTTCGATGGAACATTGCAGTAGTAGACATGGAAGAGAGGAGCTATTAAAAAGTAAAATGAGGAGCTGGCCCAGTGGCATAGTGGTTAAGTTTGCGTGCTCAGCTTTGGTGCCTGGGGTTTGCCGGTTTGGATCCTGGGCCTGGCAGACCTACTTCCCCCTCATCAAGCCATGCCGGGGTGGCGTCCCACTTAGAGCAACTAGAAGGTTGTATATCTATCTACTGGGGCTTTGGGGAGAAAAAAGGATAAAGAAAGGAGGAAGGTTGGCAACAGATGTTAGCTCAGGGACAATCTTCCTCCAAAAAAAAAAAAAGTAAAATGATACAGTGTAGTGATTGCATGTGGGGAATAAAAGAATAAAAGAGGGATAAACCATGATTAGAGATGGTTTCCGGCTGGGTAGATGGTGGGATCATTGATCAAGCTGAGGAATTCAGGAGGATGGGTGGCTAGGCTGATTTCTGGTTTGGACATGCTAATGCTTAGTTTCCTGTCTTACCTGTAAGTGGAGATTTGAGTGTATACACGTGATTCAGTTTAGGAGAACAGTCTTCCTAGAGATTAGAATGAGGGAATCGTTCATATACAGGTGGTAGCTCAAGCCATTCAGATGGTCCCCCAGGGAGTGCGTGAACCTTGCATTGAAGTATATATATGTGGGCTTGTTTTTCTCTCTGTTTCTAAGCAAATCTTATTCCCAGAATATTCAAGACTCCTTTTAGGCGTGGCAGTTTTGATTATTGAAGACAGAATGACTTGAAAAATCAGATAAAGGGAATATGGTTACATCTTTGCTGAATAAGCTTAATTGGGGCATAGTGTGGGAAACGCACAAATCTTCTGATATACAACGTGCCTCTTGTTTTGCTGCTCAGTCCAGCCTTGGGACCAAGGATGGGCCTGAAAGACTAATGACATGGTTTATGACATGGTAAGGAAGGTAATACTAAGAAACAGCTGCCACTCTACAAAATTAGATGCAATTTCTACAAACCACACTATGAGATCTACTAATCATTAAGACCCCCAAACCAGTTGATTTTTTTTTTTTTTACTTGCACTTGCATTTTCTTTCTCCTTAGGAGTACACATACTCTGGCTTTTGAAATGATGATAATTTGGGTTGAGGTATCTTCAGTAAGGAGATTTTAGCTTTGTTATCTAATAGTCATTTCCCATGCAATTTCTTCCCTTTCACTCATTCACATTTGAACTTACAAATAAGATGTAACATTAAACAAATAGACTGATGTGTTTGTTTAACCATGGACCTCTGTATGTCAGAGATCACAGCTTCTTTCTGTTTTGTCCTCCTTGCTCTCTGCCATTATGAGAAGTGGCAGTCTAAAGTTATTCCGTACATGAAATCTGCATATTTTTCTTCTTATAATTTAGTAACAAATTGGGCAAGTTCTTTTTAAAAATGTTTCTTAGTCAACACTAAATGCCTTTAGTTAGAAGTACAAGATCTCCAGGCTCACTATGGTTTTCACTACTGGTGAGTTTTCACTTTTACAGTTTAAAATCAGAGTCCTAGGCTCTGAGGACTGACTTCATAGGGGAGAGTCAACGTATTTAAGAGCATTTTTGCGGTGCCAGCTGTGGTTACTGTTGTGTCAGCATTTCCATCATCGTAATTCCCAGCATGCGAGGGTTTGTAATGAGACTGTTGCACCACAAACTGAAGCTTGGTATGCAAGTGTTGAGCCTGAAGCGAACTTTTTCTTTTTTTAAAAAAAAATGTAGTTTCTCTATAAAGCCACTAATGAAGGAGCAAAGCTAGTGATTATTGTTGTTACAGTACCCGAACTGCTTGGTTTACTTAATACTGCAGGGACATTAGTCTGTAACATAAACCAATCACTCCAGGAGTTTGGGGAAAAGACTATG